CAAATCCGCGGACAATAAAAAGCTCCAAATTTTTGTTTTTCTCAAATTTCTCTTCTCTTTGGCTCTCCTGCAATCGAAATTTATTTTCAAAAAAAAGCAAAAATTTTCTTAATTATAAATCTAGACAGCACCAGACTTGTTTTATAGCATTTCAAATTTAATTTTCTATCACATTCTTTTATCTGGTGTTAAAAAAAGTCACATAATTAAGAGAAATTAAAGAAAAAAGCGTCAATTTCTCCTGCAAGAACACTTTGTTGCAAAGCATCAGTTTAGAGTATTTTTTCGTGACACACGATAAATTTTGAAAAGTTATAAAACGTTTAGATCATAATCAATTGAAATATCTAAATTATGCAGTGACTTACAGCTTGAATAAAGCTTTATTAACGAGAAAACACTAATTAATTGCTTAATTAATTAAAAAAGTAAAGAATTGATAAAATAATGTTTATTTTTGTTCAAAAGCCATATTCAGGCTGGCGTCAAAATAAGACCCAAAGAAATGTAACTTAAACTACAATAATTCCAAATTTGAAATAAAAAAAGATTTGTTTTGTTCAAAAATTTTAACGAGTTTTTATTTTTCGAATTTTTCCAAGTAGAGAAATGTTACAACTCGCTTTTTTTCAGTTTTTTAATTTTGCGGATTTGATCTAAATTATCATACAAAAATTTTTTATCATTTAACAATTTTCTGAGGTTTTAGGGGGGGAGGGGGGTCTAAGATTTTGTTACGGTTCAAACAAGGAAATTTTTTTTTCATACAAATTTTGTTACGAGGGGGGGGGGGGGGGGTCTAAAGTCATTTTTTCGCGTTACGTAATAAGTGAACAGCCCCATTAATTATAGTATAAATAAGAGTCTGTTGCAAAAAATTTCCATATAAAAAGGCTTTGTAATTTAACGGTTTTTTGAGATTCAAAATTTTTCGACGGTAGAAATAAATTCAAAATACTAAACGCTCTCATCTCGTGTTTTTTCATATGAAATATGAAAATCATTAATTATAGTATTTATCCATTGTTTTACGGTTCGAAAATAATCTTAAAGCCAATAAAACAATGGACCAGAGCTAATAAAACAAACTAGAGCTGTCTACGATGTCTGGTTAATGAGATCTCAGATACATCTGAGCTGCCGATCAAAGTGAATTATTAAGCTACCTTTTTGAAACAAGTTTCAAAAGTGCGTTAAAAATCCCTACAATCTTTAAATGAGAGCAACCCACTTAATACGACTTTTATGTATGTTGCACGCTTATTAGCACATAAAACGCATGAAAATGAAATAAAGTTCAAATGCTCCACTTGAAGAATCGTCCATAAAAAAGACGAAATGACACCCCGCAAAAACAGTTCGATTACCCTTTTTGGGAGATGAAAAAAAATCGAGGGTATATATTAAGTGATGGTATATGTGTGTGTAAAAAAAGGAGAAGGTAAGGATAAGTTAGAAAAATTCAATTCACATATAACGATGCCATTTACTATATAGCATTACAAAGACTTTGTAGCATAGGTAAAACTTGATTCCACTCTAGAAATCTTTTGGGACCGTATACCTTTAAATTGTACTATTCAAGTAAATCCAAAAAACAGTCATTCATCATTATGACAAAAATGTTTAACGTGCAAAATCACAAAACCAGTATAAAATTTATAATGTATAGTTGGTTCTTTCAGAGGAAACGCATTACTTACAGTACAAACAACGACTCGATCAAAATTCAAGGATTTAAAATTTCTAGCAATTTTTTCAGTTACCGGAAATTGAATTAATTCTCGACTAAAATAATAAGATACAAGTTATTTTAAATACAGCACACAAGTTAATGTGTAAAAATTAAAAAACCAAAGATTTTTGGACAAGAGCTACTCAGTCAATAAAACGAATAATTAATGAGTCGCTTTAATCGAAAAATATGCTAAAAATTCTACTTGTATACACCTAATGTATAAATTTATATTTGACACAACAGTACCGTACATATAACAGGATGAAAAAGCAGTTTTTGAATCTTGATATTATGAAAATAAAATTCTTTTTATGTTATGGTCATCATTCAGTTAGCATAAAAAGGAAATTCTGTTCCATAAACATAAAAAAGAAAAAAATTAGGAACTTGGATTGGATGTTTTTTTTAATAAAGTTCAAAATGAATTTCTATTGGAAATTTATCTGTATCCTGCTAATTTATCTTTTAGAGGATATGCTTCTACAAAGACAAATTGAATCTAATTTATGTAAACGCTAACGAACAAAAGTAATAAATCAGATTAAGGTCGAGGTATTCTTATGGCATTTAATCATCAAATTATTCCCGCGAGTCAATAAATGATGTTTGGCAGGACCATTATTAAGAAAATTGATCTAATAATAATTAAATTATCTCCTTATAACTTCTGCTTTAAGTAATAACGAAAATGTATAATTAATGAGTCAAAACAGCTGCTTCAATGAAGCTTTATTTTTTAATTAGTCCGAATAGTACAGCTTCGCTATAAACGACGCTTTAATTTATAATGTTAATAATTCTTGGAATTAATTGCTACTTTACAGAGTATCCCATTATTTTTAAATTTTTTTTATAACTTTTCTACACATCAGAAAGATTTCTGCAGGTGCTTCTGTGAGTTTAAATTTATTGTGTTGCATTAATTATGTGAGGAATTTAAGTAATTGCCAAATGATTTAAAATAAGCTCATTTTAATTTTTATTTTTACCAAGTTCTTAGAATTAATCTGGACATTGTACATGAAACATTGGATATAAACACTTAGAAGTGATATAACTTTGAAGATTTAAAACCTTATTTTTAATGTCACAGACAATAAGGCTATAGTAAGTCTATTTAATTTTAATGCTGTAAATTAGTAGATTTCATCCCTTGTAGAGCTCTAATCCTGAAAATATATTCTTTTAAAAAAAATTTAATTAGAGTTAAAATAATACAAAACGATTTAAGAATCATCTTTGAATTGACTCCTTTTTGTATTCATATGAGACTTTCATCCATAAGAGGGATGACCATAAATGAAATTACTCTAGCATATTTTCTTGATGGGCAAATAATATTAAAATTCTAAACTCAATCTAATAATGCTCAATGAAAGAATCTTGAATTTCTTAATACACTGTGTGTGTGTGAAACGAATATAAAGTTATTTTAGTTTCCACTAGCTTCCACTACAAAATCGTTCGTAACAATAATTTTTATTTATGTTAAATTTAGAAACTTTATCCATAAAAAAACTCGGCATCTTTTGCCTTTTATTCTGAAAGCTGAGTGACCAATCATTTCACCATTAAATTGCTCGGGAACGAGACTACAATTTGAATTGCAAATAGAAGAACAAAAAAAGTTCTCCTTACCATCATGTGTCAACGGTGAAGCGTAAAGACTGTCTAAGGTGGGGAGAATTTATTATTAAAAATTCGTGTCTTATTAAGGCGGGAGGAAATTTCTAAACTTTCAATGTGGAACGGAATTAAAACGTTTTCATAAAAATAGTATAACTCCATACATGAAAGCCTTGATTAGAACATAAATCGTGTACTTTAAGGCTTATTATTACATATTTTTTTTATTTCGGTACTTTAATTTGTTGTTGAAAGTTATAGGAAATGTTTCCTAAATTTGATATAAAGTTTGAGGTTGACATAAAGAAAGGAAAAAAAAGAACGAAAAAAAAAGTTGTTATGAAAGAAATTTAACATTATTCGTACATGCTTGGCATACGGCAGGTTTCTTTCTTTTGGTGAAAAAAAAAACTTTTCTTTTCATTCATTTCTCTGATTGCGTAGCGTGACATATAAAAGAAAAGCTTTGCTCCTGAATAGCATTTTATGAGTTTTTGAACACGTCGACAATTAGTTAAATTGGAAGATGAATATTCTGAGTTTGGATTGCCATAGCTTTCTACCGGGAAGCGTAAATGTGATTTCATGATTTTTAAATTATTGCCATTATTATTACTACATTCATTTGAATTTTTAATAATGAACGTGATCTCTTCTTACACGATTACTGCCGCCTGCTTGTCCCTATTCCAATTAATTATTTTGTATTCTGTTAACTGCTCTGAAAGGAAAAGTTAAGACAGACTTTTATTTTCTTTATGCCGGTAAAGTAAACGACAAAAAATTTTGTCTCATAGATCATTTGACGTAACCAATTTCCTATTTAGGTTGATATATTCTGGAATAAATAAAAAAGTATGAATAAGATTCATTTATTTCAGTTAACGGACAAGTAAGAATACGGTTGAATGGAACTGTTAAAACTTCACTGTATGCTATAAGAAGTGTGAATGTGAATAGTGATTTATTTCAAACATAAAACACTTTTTTCCTTTTTTTTTCCTCCTTCTCTCCTACATAATGTGAGTAAATAAAATGACAATCTCAATATGGGGTTTCATGCTGCTGCTACTGGTAGAAAGGCATTTGAAATATATATAGGCAAGAACAAGAAAAAAAAAAATGTTATAATGGATTTCATTCATTTTAACATGATGTTTTTATTTGAAATGTCATATTGTTTTTGATGCGTGAACTGTATGTCTTAAAACTATAATACACAATTTCAAAAGCTATCTATAATATAAACTAAATATAAAGTGGAATGCTTTATGAAGTGCAATATATCTATTTCAGAAAAATTTATAGCTTTTTTTTTTCATCTTCGCACAACTATGTGATAAGATTCAGGACAATATTAAATTGATGAAATGACGAAAAAAAAAATATCTCATCGCTGTAAATGGGGATTTTGAGTGCTCCAAAGAAAGCGCATAATGCTCAAATTGTTGAGACTACATTAAGTGTTATGGCGCAAGATTATTGGAAGGGAAAGTTTTTGTTTGGAATAAGAATTCTCCCTGTAGACTTGCTGGAAAGTGATGTCGCATGGAAAAAAGGAAAAGAGAACAAGGAAAACATTCAATTTCTGCTCTGTTATCAACGTTTCTTCAAAAAATTCATGATAGTTGCTGTTGAGTTTTGTGAAGAGTTTGTCGCAAATTTGTACGAATCATATGTTTAGGAAATAATATTTTAATGAAAGCGCGAGTGGAATATTGAATAGGCGGTGAAGGTTCAAATAGATTGACAGACAACGTCAAATATTATATTCGTGCAAATTCATAAATTTTGATCATTCGATGAAAACTGATGAAAACATAAAGAGGAAAAATATTGATAATATGTTATAGAAAAATAGAGCATGGAATATCATTAAGTGTCATCAGATTTATGAAGAAGATTAAATGGTGGTAAAATGTGCTTCATCAGTGAAAAGAAATTTTGTACTAAATAATAGATAGATTTGTATTGAAAGATTGCCTCTTCTTAGCCGAATTCATCAGTATAATGGATTGAAGGAGCTCTATTTTATTATTATTTCTATTCAATGCAAAAAAAAAAATATCGTATATCTTTTTATTCATTACCAACATAAAAGGTGCTTTTATACATGATTAGTTCATTTTGTAGACGAGAAAAAAAAAAGAAATATCTTTGACCATCATTTTGTACATCGTATTTTTTTGGATTGATTTTTATGACGATGATCTTTTATATGACAATTTTCACATGAATTCATCAATAATTTGATTTACATCTTCTCGAATGAGATTTCTGTTATTCTCTTATTCTCCTTTCATAGACTATATTTTGACAATTCTTCAGTCAATCACAAAAATTGAGAAAGGAAAATTGAATCAGGAATGGAAGCATTTCATTATAAGACATGAAAGAGCAAGGTCAATTTTATTAAATTATGCATTTCTGCTACTTTTATTCTCATTTCCAATTTTTTTTATCAAACGAAATTATTAGACTACTCACATTTGATTCTATTCTACCTTTTACAGTACAATAAGTAACTGTGTTTTTATGTAAAAGTACAAAGTACAAAAGAATTTTTTTATAGTCATGAATCCAATTTCCGCAATAAAGACCGGAAATTCAAAAAGAAAATTTCTTTTTGTTATAGTGCTCTTGATATTCTTTATACATAAATATTAAAGTCATTTCCAAGACCAAGAAAATATTAATAACAATTTTTGTCAAAACATTAATGTTCACAAAAACCTCATAATTGAATGCTTTTAACCTTAATTATGTTTCTACTTATTTTCGAGGTAGCTATTTTCTATAATTCCCACTTTTTTGCTCCATTTTCTCGAAAGCTTTTACACTTCATTATTGTATTACATCTCTTATTATTTTAATTTATTGATCAAAATCTATCTTTAGGAAAGAATTTAAGCACAAAAATATTTTTTCCTAGAAGAACCAAATTTTTCATTAAGCAAATTATTTCGTAATTAATAATTTCCGTGATATTTTTGACTTATACATGTTAAATTTGACTTAGAGAACAGATGAAGAGAGTTAATTATTTTCATATCTTTCTAATTATTTTTACCATCATATTCATGCACAACTTTGTAATTGGGAGATTAAAAGCTCATGTGTTGTGTAAATAAGTCGACTGCCATATTGAGAAAACGGTTTTAAGGCAGCTTCTTAATCTCATCATCAAATAAACCTTTGTGGTTGAGTGACGACTTAAGAATATTTTTCTATAGACATAGCGAATTTAACAAGATTTATGGAGTACTACTTAATCAAAAACAATATGATGACGCTCGTAATATTGAAGAGAACGGTCGACAACTTGAATACTGAATTTAATCTGGGTATATGCAAACAAGAGAAGATAGTTAAATAAATAATCTTAAGCATCGATGATGAAATTTCTTAAAAAATTGTTTTGACTCGAGCAAAAATGTCGCTAAAATTTTTCCATACTATTGAATATTTTGTGTAAAGATATTTTTCAACTTGAAGTCAAGTTATTTCGCTCATGATACGGTCATAAAGCTTGAATAAAGTTATAAAGACTCTTTCAAAAATTAACATGAAATACTTTCTGCGCATTTTACACCGGCATCAAGGCATGATCAAATATTTTACTAGGGAAAATATTTTGAAAGCAATAAATTTAAAAATATTCCGTAAATTAATACTTACACAAGTGTGAAATCACAATACAAATGAATCTATCTCCTGAATGCTATATAAACTTGTAGGTCTCTATGGTTTGTTTGAGAATGTAAATCAAATTGCATAATTTATGTATATGAATTCAATTTGTGAAAATAGTCATAAAGATTATTACTAATTTATGTGGCTTCTTCTACAAAATGAAGACTTATAGATAAGACACAGAATCATAAATCACTAGAAAGAATTAAAACTATGATAATCGTGCAAAAAATTACAGGAAAAGCGTGCAAAAATGTAAAAGTGAAGTGGATAAATTTTTTTTGAGTGCAAAAGGAAGTCTTGAATGCTATTAACATGAGAAATCTACAGCCGGAAATAAATTTCGTATTATAATTGGATTTATTGAAAGATTTATCGTTCGTTACTGACACTTTCACACAGGATAATTTACATAATGATGCACTGATTAAAACATTTCGAAAACCAATTTTTCAATTAGCAATTATGAATTAAATTTGCAATTGTACTCACGTCGGCGGTTAATAAATGCACAGTCGCATTAAAAAACCCCACACCAGGAAAATTAAATGCATTAAAACTGATAAAAAATGAAATTGAATTCAGAAAATCTTTGTTTGTTCAATTTCATTTATATTGTAATATTTAATACCATAATGAATAGTTTATACGAATTCACACTGGCCGAAACTGTTGTTGCTACTGGAATAATAAATAATGGTAAGTAAGCATGAAGAGCTTTCTTAATTTATTTTATTTTTTGTTGTAAGTAGCTCAGACAATTATAAAAGATTGAACATTTTTATCATCTTTATGTGATTGCAAAGTCTGAAAATTTATGACGCAACTCAGTCAAGAATGTCACAAAATTTTTAGTATTTCCTGAAAAATATTTTATTCATTTTTTGTTTCTCCATCACATTTATCGATGTTGATTTATTCAAGAAGAAACAGAGATTTGAGATGTCTTCAAAGTTATTTTTTTCAACATGAATAATTCCTTTTTTGCACTGATTTATGGAGATCATGCATTTTATGCTTCCATTCGTTTGATAAGTACCGATAGCGGCTCACATCTAAAGAATTGATTCTAATGGCTCATATTTGTTTTCGTTAACTTTAAGTAAAGGATGAAAAAAATTAATTTTTAAAAGCAATGCTCTTTCACTTAAGCTAATTACTAATCTTTTCAAATATTAGGGTTCATGAAGAAAAAAAAATTCAAGTGAAATCCAACCATCAAAAGGATGTCTATTTATAGCTTTCGCGTTAAAATCAGTGTTAAAAATGCCGATAAACTTTTAAAGCCTAATTTTTGAATTTTCATGAAATGTTAATGATGGTTTTAATTTTTAATTCTCATGTAAATTGGAGATTCGCTTAATTTTATGAAGGCTCATTGGAAATATATATAATATTTCTGGCAGCATAAAATCACTAACATTTTCATTAGCATTTTTTATTCGTTGAAAAAAAGGGGTAATATCTAAATATATCTATGAAATTAATAATTTTGAATGCGATTAAAATGAAACTTATAAATATCCTGAAAAAAATATGCAAGCTTACCACAATGAATTGCCTTGTTATTATTGAAGCCGCTTCATTACAGGATTATAGAGTATTTTCCACTTTGCCAATAATGCTTCAACCAAATTTCGTACTCATGCTGAATACATTTTCGGAGGTCTATGTTTATATGTATCTTCGTTTACGAATTAATATTATTAAGCTCTAAATCCCATTATGTCTATCCGATTTATGATGTTTATTGGGTATTTTTCTTTGGTATATTCATTGAACATGAGTACATAATATATATAAATTCAGTCGTCGACCTAATTTTTTCGCGAATTAATTCGAGTTTCATAATGAAAAAAAAAAAAGGGAAACATGAAAGGAAATACAAAAATAAAGATGGATAATTGTTTTGTATGGCAGTGATTTCCAAGAAGGAAAGTTCGCCTTCCTTTTATATGATTCAGGCATTTATGTATCAATTCCAATTACGAAATATCATTATGTGATAATCAGTTAATAACATCAATATGACTTCTTATGGGAGATGTAGAAATTGTTCTTAATCGGAAATTAATATGTTACCATGGTTTAGGTCAAAATAATAAAGACATAAAGTTTTTAATGCAAATATTTTCTGATTTTTAAACAAGCATTTCAATTTATAACATATATTTCGGTAATAAATTCTCAATATTTATGTACAGCCTTTTTTCAACAGAATATAAAAGTTTTTTTATGTTCTTTGCTTATAAGGGTATTGGTAATTTTTGACTTTAATTTCTTGGAGGGTTCCCAATTCAGTTGTATACATTCAGATCATGATAGTTGAAGTTAGTTTGATTTTAAGGATTAAGTCACTTTGAAAGTTTTGCTTGGTTAAACTGTTGTGGTTTGTTTGCTAAAATGTTTATGACTCGAACACAAAACAGCAAAACGATATGAACTCAATCACTTGTGACATCCAACCTTTGCATAGGGGCCGTTCACTAATTACGTTACGCAAAAAAACGACTTTTTTCACCCCCCTCCCCCCTTGTTACAATATGTTACAACTCACAACCCCCCCCCCCCCCCCCTGAACGTTCATAATTTATTTTATCATTAAAAAGGTGAAAAATTTGAAAAAAAAAAGTTTTTGGTATGAATTTGTAAACAAATTTTTTCGTGAACTTTTTTGTAAAGACAGACGACAGTTAGAACGTTACATACTTCTTGACCCCCCCCCCCCCCCTATGTTACATTTTGTTACAATTTTTCAAACCCCCTCCCCCCTAAAATGCGAACGTAATAAGTGAACGGCCCCATAGCTAAGATTTTTTTTGACACTTTTTAAAAATAAGTAGAGCTCTGATTTAATAGACATCGTTTGCAAACAGTCCGTCTTAAGTAGATTTAAATAAACATTTTGATTGGAATTTCACAGTACAAAAACATTCATTGCAAAGGTTTTCGAAGGCCTTATTATCTAAAAGAGTGAATTATTTGGGTTCAAATAAAAGCTTTTCAGTGGAATGTGAAGATTTATTTTGGGTGGCTCTACGAAAATGATGAAAATTTCATTCATAAAACAAGTATTTTGAAGATTTTTTTTTGTATAGCAGCTTTTTATGTGCTGTTTCGCTCAAATTTTAATTTTTACTATACCCAATTTATGCGATTCCAAGACAAAATTTTCTCTGCATGCTAAGCTTACTTCACAACAGATTTAGTATTTTATTTACATACAAATTACAATTTATTAAACCAATTTTTCTATGAGGGGTTATGTTGTATGATTTATGCACGCAATAAAATTAATAATTCCGTTTTTAATTTTATTATTTTCACTTTATACTTTGTTTTAGGAATAAAAAACGAGAAACCCTATTTTGAAGAGATTCATCCGCGAAACATTTCCACAGCAATTGATGATACAGCAATATTAAAATGTGTGGTGAAAAATAAAGGAAATCGTACGGTAAGGATACTGTAATAAATAGCATAATAAAAAATATATGCTTAATGCAAACGTCTTTAATTGCTAGTAATTTGAGTGATTGACTGGATATAATGTTCATCACGAGTTTCAGAAGTCGTTAATTATACATTATGAACACATCTTTAATAAAATTTTACCAAAATTGAACACAAGTTTAATTAAATCTTTGAAATACATAATCGGCATTTCTGACATAAAATAATGAACGAATATGTACTTCCTTTCTTAAGAGAGAGAGCAGTATTTTAAAAGATTCTGTTTGAGCTGAAGGGAGTACAAACGATTTTTGGCATAAATATAAAAAGATTTAGCCAGATTTACGAAAAAATTCTCTTCTAGGTTTGTTCTCAAAATAAATCCCGCTAAAGTTGTTTAAAAAGTATTCATTCAGATTATTCTACTGGATTATCTTCTTAAAGAGCTTTCTTAAATTTACAGACAACTTATCTAGTGAATATGTGGATGAAAAAAAAAATTAAACTTCAATATAATGTTCTTAAAAGTTATTCTAATGACACATAAAAGTTAGATAATTATAAATTAATTTTAATTTCACGTTCAAATATTTGTATACGAAAACTGCGTATTCTTTAGCAGCTATTGTCTATTCTCTATGGAAACATAAAAGATAATCTTTCATGCAAAGTTTATTTTTCAAAAGCTCTACAAAATACGTTCTCTGCTGTACGTACGTCATGATACAGTGAAATTTATTGCAACAGATGAAAACTTAAATTGATGTTTGTTTAAGTATACGAGGATATATACATACATATATCAAGAACAATAATTTTATTATAATTCCTGCGCTCGCAAGAACAATCATTATTATTTGCTAGAAAAATGAGCTTGAGTAGATTGTGCTTAATATTCGCATGATATTCACTTTCCCCAATTGCTTTTTTAAAGTATTTTAATGGAAATCATTTTTCAGTTGCCTAATTTTTCCCTTCTTCAATATCTTACTCATTTTCGGCCTAAATGGATGATTGGCGAAGAATGAAATTTCATGGATAAAGGATTTCATAAACAATGCTAAATTGTTTAACGCAACTTTGCCTAATATTAATGAGTTTGCTTTTCATTTCGTTCTTGTGGTGGCGACGAGAATTTTCTTCAAAAAAAGAAACTTTTCCTATCTTTTGTTATACAAGCTTATATAGTATTCACATACAAATCACAAAAGAAATCAAAATGAGCAATTGTTTTTTTTTTTCTTGCGTTATTCACAATCAGCCGTCATCAAGCAAAAAGGCGATAGAAAGTTTTTTTGTACCCTCAAAACAAAGAAGAATGAATAAAGGAAAGGAGGCGAAGATTATATTGATAAAATTATCTTGCAGCTATATTCAGCATTTAACTTTTTCCTCCTAACTCAGTTCATTCCGGTTTGTTGTTCTATAAAGACTTAGACTTTTTTGCTATCCCGTGATGTATTATTTTTTTTTTTTGAGGAAAATGAATTCAAGAAAACTTGGCTTTTGGATCGTGATAAAATACTTCAACGGAAAATAATTATACCTACAGAGAATATAATATATTGATGTATAAATTCATACAAGGATGTACGGATCATGATTAAGCTATTTGAGGAAACGGCAAGCAACTTTATTTGAAAAAGGAAAACCGCTAATTTTCCTTCATAATTCTTTACAACAAATTCACTCAACAAACTATAAATAAAACGGAATTTCATTTACATTGTGTTTGTAAATGCTCACCATTGCAGGATATATTTTAGATCATGAATAGATAAAAAAAATATCTGTAAAAATATCAGCATCAGTGGTGAATCTGGTAGGAAAAACACACTTAATAGCTTAGAGTTTTATAAATCCGATTCTGGAGATTGTTTTAAAATAGCTTTTTGTAAATTTTTGGTGTTTATATCCTTTTCGTGAACTTAAACTTTCATTAGAAAATTCAAAAAAATAACTTTTAGAGTAAAACATTCTCAATTACTTAAAAATCTTCTAAACCTAAAAAAAATTTGTACTGAATGAACTGCTAAAATGCATAATAAAATCCTTTTATCACAACATCTGATGCTGACTGCATGCTTTTTCGAAATTGTATCAATTTTATAAAATTGCACTTTAAAAATGTTCACTCAATATGACACAATCGGTTGTGATAATGTGTTCAACATAGAATAATAATAAAAGTACATTCTTTTATGAGAGGATTCGGAATCTATTTGATTTAGAGAAACTATCACATCAAAGATGAATTTCATTGATATTGATCTATGTATTTTTAGGCTAAACTAACATAGGGGCTTTTGCTTATGTTTAGAAAATGTTTCTCAGTATCTGAATTTTCGAGTTTTTAAACAATTTCAATATCATAAAAAATTTAGTGAATAAATTTTTACCAGCCTTTCATAAAAATTGTTTGAAATACGCTTGAGGCAGGAAAGTTAAGTCTGCGTATTTTTTTCCTTTTTTCATATACATATTTTCATATGAACAACGATATCTTTTCAATATATTGTATGTGTTGTTTCATATACACATCTATTTTCACATAAATTACTTTTTATATTTTTCAGGTATCATGGATGCGAAAACGAGATGTGAGTAAAATTATACATTCTTTCTCTCCTAATCATGAATACTGAAATGTCCTTGAAATTACATTTTACAGCTTCATATTTTGACATCAAATACTTTTTTATACACTGGAGACCAAAGGTTTTCGGTAATTCATCCACAAGACTCTGACGAGTGGAATTTGAAAATTGAATATGCACAACCTAATGACGCTACAACCTATGAATGTCAAGTAAAGTCATGCACGAGCTTTTCCTTTTCATTTTTTCTGTAGATTTTTTTTTTTCATGTACATTTATAAGATTTTCCATTTGTTTTCGAGCAGTTGAAATATGAAAAGGGCACCAGGAGACTTTCAAGTAACATTTAATTTTTAAATTTATTTACATCGATTTGTTGTTTTGTTCGGACTAAGATTCAAAATTATTAATCGTGTCTCTTATAAATGAATACCAAAAAAATGAAAAGGAAAAAAATCATTTAAAATTTTCAATTAATTAGAATTGAAAAAATACACGAGGTATTTTCTATCTTTTTTTGATTTAGGTCAATACGGAGCCAAAAATTAATTATGCTGTTAATTTGTCCGTAAGAAGTAAGAGAGGAAAAAGTCTAATTCATTTTGACTTCTCACGTTTTGCATGATAGAGAAAGTTTAATGGAAAAGAAAAACGTGGTCATGCTATCATGCTCAACGGAAGTGAAGCCATTAAAATTATTTTGTTCTTTTTCTTTTGATAGCAATCATCTGCAATATATCATTTCTATTTTCGTTTAATGAATTACCATCCATTAAAGATTCATCATAATTTATTTTTAAATAAAAAATTAAATTCAATAAGAATAATAATTTTGCTAAAATTCAAATGTTATCATAAATATGATGAGGGATGAAAATTTATCTCTAGACTGGACTAATTTGCTTATATTTGATCTCAAATATTTATTTGCATTTATCTTGAGAAATTCTGAATATTGTTATGGAGTTTTCAAGCTTCAATGAAGCGTTTGTTTTGCTTAAACAAAATGTTTAATTTCCTTTAATTCATAATAAAAAAACTTGAATTTTTAAATACAATTTCATTAATAACCAAATGTATTTTGCAGGTGTGGATCTTAAAAATATTTATGACGTACCTGAACGAATTGAAGGTATCATTTGAAAACATTTCTTTCATAACTTTCTAACCCTTTAGAATTTTTATACATTTTCCTTAAAATTTTTGTGAGAAAATTTATTATTTACAATTTTCATATTCATATTCTGTTCCACAGAGCGAGCATATTGAAATTTATCTAAGTCGAAGTTTTTTGAATCTGCTGTTACACTTATTTTTTTTTCTTTGCTTTAAGAATTACGATTTTTTATGAAATATTTCGCGTACTTTTTTTCTTCTTCAAGTCCGTACATGGAATTTTGTAGATTCACAAACTTTGGATGTGTGAAAAGTCTGAAAAGGTCATTAAAAATTAAATGTGTTTCAAGAATATTAAGTTTTTTATAGGATATCTACCATCTTTGACACTGGATGATTGTGACATATATGCAATAATCCAGCTGTAAATCCCTGCCTAATATTGACAATATATTTGATATCGCACTGAATCAAACACATGATTTATGATCGAAAATTAATTGTGGTAATAAAACCAGCAATAAATTGGCTATTCAAGATAACTTGTTGTTAATTTGATCACATGGAGTTTTAGGCATTGTAAACACCTTAAATTAAATTATTGCAGATGATTGAGTTTGCACAATTTTGTTTGTAAATTTATATTATCAGTTCAATAAACTTATTAGGATATTATTCGGAATTTAGTTTTGTTACTGATTCAAAAAGTGGAAACTGTTCATTTTCTAATATTTTCTCGTTTTTTTTCCTATACATAAAGAAATGTGTTATTTATCCTTTTTCGAACCTTTTTAAATTATATTAAATTTATTTTCTTCTTTCATAAGCTGCAAAAGCAAAAATTATTGGATCACAGGAGCTTCACATCAAGAAAGGTTCAACAATATCTCTTAGCTGCACGGTCAATATTTATGGATCTGCAATTTCATGGTATGTCAAAATTGAAGACGCTTCTTAACATGTAAAATATTTATCAAAGCAAAAGTGCACAGATGAGTAAATAAGTTGCTGTAATACACACAAACATAAATAGAATGTCATTTAAAGTTTGTGGAATTTAAATATTTGGAAAATTTGCTAAACGTTCACAAACAAGATATCATATTTTGTTGACATGTGACATAAAGTACTCAAAAATTTATTTTTCGAAAGCAAAATATTATACCTACTCACTTAGCATACTGTATGCATAAAATACTCTTCTTTCATAGCTTAGTCTGTTCTTTATGACTAATTTTTCTCGTTCATAAAACAAGAGTACGAGAGAAAATCTGAATTATGTTTCTCAAAATCTATGATGTAAGCTAAAACATACTTTTCATTATTTTTATTATACTTTTCTGAAACAAAGGTTCCATGGAACGTCAATTGTACAGTTTGATTCAGACAGAGGAGGGATAAGCTTAGAACAAGAAAAAACAGAAACTGGCACAACTAGTCGTCTACTGATAACAAGAGCAAATTTTCGAGACAGTGGTAATTACTCTTGCGTTCCCATTGGAGCAATCTCAGCAAGTGTGATTGTTCATGTTCTTAACGGTAATTGAAGAAGACTTTGTAATGTTGAAAGCACCATATTAACTTGTTATTAAAATTTATTGCCTTTTTTTATTATCGCTACCATTTCTTGAATATTTAAAGGAGAAATTCCACAAGCTATGCAAACCAGCGATGCTGTGCATCCACCACGTCCAACCTTATTCATTTCTCTTCTAATATTAAGTACATTCTGTAACTTGCTAAGTATACAACATATCACGACTAAAGTAATTACATTTATCCTTGAAAGGTGATTAAGAATCTAATTTTGGAATATTCCAAAATATAAAAAAAAAATCATTTAAAGTGAAAAAAAAGTGTTAATTTGAAATGAAGAAAAATTAGATAAGAACATTGTGAATCAGTAGTTATAGAATTTTGTTAAATTTAGTAGGAAATATTGAATAAAAGAATAATAAAATAATAAATAAATCATTAGATAGTTTGCTGCATTTTAAACAATAAATTTGAATTTGTAAACTAGTTGCAATGGGATTTTCAGGGCTTTTCATTTTCACTGTATCAAGATAATCCTTTTTAATCGCTTAACTGATGCAATTGCTCATCTAAATTCGATTGTGTATTCATTGCTTTTTAGCGAGTGTAGGACAATTCCCCACTGTAATTTCGCCACTTTACATTTGGCCACTGACATTTCACCACCACTACATTTTGCCACCTGTACATTTTGCCACTATTTATTTGCCCACTATTTATTTGCCCACCTGTTTTTTTCGCCACTGCTTTTTTCGCCACCTTTTATTTGGTCACTATTTATTTGCCCACCTGTTTTTTTCGCCACTGCTTTTTTTGCCACTAATCATATGGCCACAAGTTTATTTGCCCACTGATTTATTTGCCCACTAAAGCAAATGATAAAATAAAAAATTGTAAAAAATATTGAAAAAATTTTGTTAAAAAAACATGAAATTTTTAAAATTATTTTTTGTAGCATTTATGGAATAATTGGCCATATTTGGGTGTTCTGAAAAAATCATGCGACCGTACGTAAATGTGCTTGAAGGTGTAACGATATATTGAGATTTGAAAAATCTCTCTTCTCTGGCTTGGACTTATCATCACTTATCCACTCTTGCTTCCTTCATTTATTTTATTCTATTTTTCCTTACTAGTTTTTATTAATTTTAATGTTTAAAAAGCTTTAAAGGTTTAATTAACTCTCAATTTACTATTTCATCATTCTATGAGATAATTTGAATAGAAATTAAACGTGACGTAAGGATGCTGGGTTATAAGTCCAGAGATTATAAGTCCAGGTACAAAAATCGTGCACAGAAAATTATAAGTCCAGAAAATCAAAGTCAATAAAGGTTTATAAGTCCAGATACAAATTGCACCTGGACTTAAAAACCTCACCTGCAGTTTATAATTCCAGGTACAGATACTGCTGGAATTATAAACTGCACGAGAGGTTTTTAAGTCCAGGTACATTTTATATCTGGACTTATAAACCTCACGTGTGGTTTATAATTCCAGAAAATTTACAAATTTTACTTATAATCTCCCAGTGCGATTATAAATCCAGATACATTTTTCTGGACTTATAATCTTTGAAAATTATTTGATATAATTTCAAATTTTTATATTCATACCGTATTCACGTGTGAATCAATTGGTTTTGTTCAGATTGAAAAATCAGTTTTTTGCATTCTGTGAGAAAACAAAGCAAAGAGGATTTTGTTTCCCCCTTTTATTCTTGTATTATTTATATTTTAAATGTTAACATCCAGAGCGAAAAATGTGATTTTTATAAATTTTTACACGCTACTGTACCTTGTTTTCTATTCAATCTTTTTGTAAAAGGTAAAATCATAGTCAAAACCAGCAGAATTTACGAAAAATTACATTAACTGTAAGGACAGCTAAGCACTTGTCTAAGCTATAAACACCATCTATATTTACTACTGTTTTTACTTATACACATTAAACTACAGCTGTAAATTGATTTTTACGTAACGACGTAAGTTCATCTGTAATCTACAGCTGTAATTTTAGTACAGCTGTAATTTGATGCTAAATAGTATAAGGTAAAGATTACTATCAAAAAAGTGCGCAAATTTCAAAATATTTTTGCGCAAATTTCAAAATGAAAACTTAAATGTCAATTTTCTCTGAATTGATGCAGCGCAAAAACCTTTACATGATCAAAAATAAAAATATCGACGACTCTTAACATTTCAAGACCATTAGTAGGTCACAATGTCAATTCGTCGATTAGTTACAACCGTTTGAAAATTCCAAGTCTCAAAACACGCAAATTTTAATTTACCCTATATGGTACTTTAGAGGAAAAAAAATCAGAGAAATGTGAATTCTTTTTGTGAAGTTTTCAAAAATTCATGTGAAGAATTACTTTAAATGAAAAAATTTAAAATAATATCAAATAATTTTCAAGGATTATAAGTCCAGAAAAATGTATCTGGATTTATAATCGCACTGGGAGATTATAAGTAAAATTTGTAAATTTTCTGGAATTATAAACCACACGTGAGGTTTATAAGTCCAGATATAAAATGTACCTGGACTTAAAAACCTCTCGTGCAGTTTATAATTCCAGCAGTATCTGTACCTGGAATTATAAACTGCAGGTGAGGTTTTTAAGTCCAGGTGCAATTTGTATCTGGACTTATAAACCTTTATTGACTTTGATTTTCTGGACTTATAATTTTCTGTGCACGATTTTTGTACCTGGACTTATAATCTCTGGACTTATAACCCAGCATCCTTACGTCACGTTTAATTTCTATTCAAATTATCTCATAGAATGATGAAATAGTAAATTGAGAGTTAATTAAACCTTTAAAGCTTTTTAAACATTAAAATTAATAAAAACTAGTAAGGAAAAATAGAATAAAATAAATGAAGGAAGCAAGAGTGGATAAGTGATGATAAGTCCAAGCCAGAGAAGAGAGATTATTCAAATCTCAATATATCGTTACACCTTCAAGCACATTTACGTACGGTCGCATGATTTTTTCAGAACACCCAAATATGGCCAATTATTCCATAAATGCTCCAAAAAATAATTTTAAAAATTTCATGTTTTTTTAACAAAATTTTTTCAATATTTTTTACAATTTTTTATTTTATCATTTGCTTTAGTGGGCAAATAAATCAGTGGGCAAATAAACTTGTGGCCATATGATTAGTGGCAAAAAAAGCAGTGGCGAAAAAAACAGGTGGGCAAATAAATAGTGACCAAATAAAAGGTGGCGAAAAAAGCAGTGGCGAAAAAAACAGGTGGGCAAATAAATAGTGGGCAAATAAATAGTGGCAAAATGTACAGGTGGCAAAATGTAGTGGTGGTGAAATGTCAGTGGCCAAATGTAAAGTGGCGAAATTACAGTGGGGAATTGTCGGTAACCCCTTTTTAGCACGTTTCTGGAATAAATGTGCATTCCAATTTACACATTTTTACAATACCTTATCTTGTCAGTCTGGGTGTCAATTTTTACACTACGAAATAAACGAGCACGGAATTTTTAGTTTCATGCTTAATTGAATTGATTTAGTTGTTTTATTGACATGTGATGTTTTGTATAGAAAATATTATTCCATTTATAAAAAGAATAATATTGGAAACTTCCTTTCAGCACTTCTAATCAAACACACAAATTAAAGCTCAGGAAAATATTTGATGTACGGTTATGTTCAACTTTATAACTTGTTTAATTTTTTGTTTTTGAGTGCTTGTAAAAGCAATGAAAGGCGAATTTAGAAATATGTATATCATGCTAAAGTATGCACACAATTTTTTGCAGAAACCGTTTACAACAACTAAACCTATTATCTTTACTACAACAAGCATGTCAATAGGATCTATTGGTTTCAATGGGAGCATACATATATACATGAACATTTACAATTTTGATGACATTTAATGAAGAACCTAATAAAACATAAACAAAATGAAAATTCCAATTATTGACATTTCCTTCATTCTCTAAAATTTAATTTTCTTTAGATCTATTGAGTGACTGATTGACAGAGTAACAAAGCAATAAATGTTGTGTATGTAAATATTTATGTAAAATGTTTATACCCATCTGAAAATAGGTTTTCATAAATTATGATTAAATTTTAAATTATGACAGCATATGCTGAAAACTTTATAAGGAATTAAACATCAAAGTATTAATTATTCAAAGACAAAAAGTTTAGTTTTCACTTGTGAATTAACTTGAAAACATTTAACAATAAAAAATAAATGTTTATTTTTCCGCAATATTCATATAATAATTAGCATATTGAAGTAAACGTCTGACTGATCAAAGTATTAAAATTGTTTTTAAAGAATTATGTATAGAGAAGGAATTAAAAAAATGCTTTTGATAAATGAATATTTTTTTTTCAGCATTGTTTTAATTTAGGCGATGAATTGATGAGAAGGGAAGAAAAAATAATATAATATTTTCATCACATATCTAAATGTATACTTCACTGTTGGTTTTATGCGTTTGTGAAAACGCGGTGGAAATGAAAATGATTTCAGATAAACGTTTCATTTTTTCCTACAGTTCTTGTTCCACCATAATGAAAATCAAACAAATACGTGTCTTTTCAGCTCAAACATAAACAGAAGAGCTTTTTTCAGATGAATAAATCCATCATAACGTGGTTTTGCCTCACTGCTGGCAAATATCTACAGTTTTTCTCTTTTAATTTTTCATTTTATTTGGTGTATAACGAGAGAATAATTCCATGCTTCGATATTTGCCATACTGACATATAAAAGGAAATTTTTAATATTTTTTTTTAAACGGCGAGTTTAAAAATAATTATTTTTTATTCTTCTTACTGCTTTCATCTCATTCCAATCATTGCTTTTATCATGAAATAAAACATATTTTGCCATAAGTCGAAGAAACCTGTATATGTATTTCCCATGTTAATTACCACGTCTTTTTACCTATTTTTAAATCACTTCGATTAGTCTAATGTTATTAAAACTTATTATTAATTGAAAAAGAACATCAAACAAATACATAAATTATTTCTGAAAGAGCCTTGTTTATGTTAATACATGCATGAATAGGAAAAAAAATAAACATGTGTAAAAATTGAAATTTCAAGTGCATATAAAAAAAAATACTGTTTATTCAAAAAGCTATTGTAAATAAATTTAAGATAATTCCAATAATGTAGTAAATTTTAAGCATCATATTGCAAAAAAAAATTATATAGGTATAGTAAAATAAAAGTTTAAAAACAATAAAGGGGAATCAATATATCTGTGGCAATGTGTATTTGCTGAATAATAACTTTTTACACAGCTTACCAGTGGAGCATTCGGAGACTGGTCTTGATGTTAAAACTCCTCAATTGATGAATTCAATTTACTAAGGTTTTCAGGATTTTCAAGTCTATATCAGTCTACACAAAATAAAGTTTACAACTTAAAAACATTGTTTCTACATCTCTGCATCTCAAAACTGTATATAATATTTTTGCATTGTATATGTTTTTATGCGATGTGCAATACGAACTTTGAGGTTTTCATATAGAGTATATCGAATTTTAAGTTTACGTCAAGGTGCAATAACGTTCGACAATGTCTGCCAAATTTATTGAATATAAACAAAGCCAATTTCTTTACCACGTTCCAAATCTAAACTTATTTAATAAATTATTTTTTTTAACGCAACTAAGCATAAGCTTATTATGTTGTTGATTATTTCCCAAGGCTCCAAAAAGTTTTTCTATCAAAGTTCAATTATGTTATGAGTTTCCAATTTTAAATTGTTCGAGGATTCAAATTTTGATGAAATGTTGAAAAATGTTTACGAATTCATTCTTCTGAAAAATATTTATAAAATGTATTTTATTTTTGTGTTCAGCCTTCAGGGAGCTTCATTTCAACGGTTTTATTAAAAGGAAGAAAGTGGACAACCACTTTGCCACAGAAGCCGTTCTCGATAATTGACTATATAGCGTACAATAATATTGATCTTAATATCCACGTTGATATGAATAGAAGCTGTTTGTTAATATAATTTCATTGGCACTCATACAGTATGGATGTTTTGAAAATGAAGAGGTTATAACAATCTGAGTAAATGAAAACACATTCTACTTCACATTTCAAAACAAAAAGAAAATACTATTTTTAAACCAACAATTGCCGCATAACATTTCAGGCAGCTCATCAAAAAAAAATCTCTTTATTTTTTAAAAAGATGAATAGCATGAATCGTAACGCAATCTAAAAATAATCATTTTTCTTCATCATCTCACGGTTTAGTATGTGGAAATGAGAGAAGAATTTTCTCGCTTTCAATTAGAGATTTAATTTCTGAAATATTAGAGCTTCACTGAAAAGTCCCGGTTTTTTATAAAATGAAAAATTTTAAAACACCAAAATTAAATAAATTGACAAGTGATTTAAATCATTTTGCCACAATCAAGAACTATATTTTATTTAAGCAAGAATGTATAGGTTATTTAATATCTTAATTATGACTTAAAGCCTTTCTAATGAATATGAAGGTCTTTAGGGTGAATTTTTGTAAAGCTTAAATTATCAAAATCAAATAATTTTTCATCATTATTTAATACAAAAACATTGCTTAAATTCCATTAAGCTCTACATCATACCAGGAAATTGTAAATGCTCATCAACAGTCAAAATAATCTCGGAAAATTAGGAAACGCCATTCAGAGAAGATGAATTTTGTGAAGAGCTAAAGTGTCGAATAGTACGAAAGAAGTCATTAAAAAATTAAGATATATTTCTCGTTCATCCAGAAAAATAGCGTTTTCATACGTTTTGATTTATGATCTATAAGTGTCATATTAACAGATATGTTTTTTCACAATAAATATTCATATTCAAAAAGATAAACATAATAAAAAGTTGTTTGGATAAAAGGAAGAGACAGAAAAATAAATCAAAAAAGAAATCATTTTGTGGATGATCTTTTAATGTGTTTGCATGAATAAAATGTTCAAAATATTTAGAATATGAGTGAGGACCACACACGCGAGTAAAATTTTAAATAAATACTTTTGGTCGTGACCTACAGTACTTAATTTTAAATTTCTGGAAAAATCAAAAAAAATGATTAAATGGATTTTATATCGAGATTGTGTTGTGTTCCGAGAAAAAAAAATTAATATCGATATTCGACAGTAAATAATTTTATGCTATCATCGTTAATTATTCGGGGAGTGCTTTCAACAACAAATTTTTAATGACATTTTTTTGCTGTTGTACATTTCACCATCCACTGGCGCCTCAATATTTTTTGTATGGTTGACTGATGTATGTTTATATTAAGTATATGCATAGAACATATATGTAGTGATATATACGTCTGTTCGGGTAATTAATATGGAAAAAAATTATGAATTTTAGTGCATTAATTAATTTATTTCAATTACGGAGTTTAATGCAAAAGTTATTTAAAAGCTCAAGAGTATCCAATTGAATCAGTGCATAAATTTTATGACATAACAGCAATTATTGCGCCACTTGATTTAAAATAATTTTTGATTTATGGATTGTTCTGCATTTACTTATTATTCAATTTAAATCCGGAACTGCATTTAATATTTGCATACAGTGGGCATCTTTTGTTCTGAAATGACCCACACAAAACATTATTTTATTGCTATTGTTAAATTAGAACAATAAATTTAAGTACAAAATGTTTCGAAGTTATGAAGAAGTATGTTTTATTGCATTACACACCCTCCTTTGCATCATTCCTTTATCACATTCAAAATTATATCGGTTGCCAAATGATCACGATTTTAATAGAAGTAAGTGGCATGTGGTAAATTGATATTTTTTCTTGTATTAACATATCCCAAATTTATCAATTTACAGTAAATATAAATAGCGCCAATAGTTTGCCATATTATTTAAAAGTGCCAACAAATGTAACCGCGATTGAGGGTTCGAATGTAATTTTATCATGTCATATTGAAAATTTAGGTGATAAAATGGTTTTCTGGATCAGAAATACTGATTTACAAATTCTAACCGCCGGATTGGCAACGTTTTCATCCGACACACGATTTAGAGTTAATCATGAAAATACAATTGATGAAAAGGATTGGAGTCTGCTCATCACAAATGTTAGATTAGAAGACGCATCGACTTATGAATGTCAGATAAATACGGAAGTAAAAATGAAGCTCAACATAAATCTTACAGTTAAAGGTATGTTTAAAAGTTTATGACCTAAACTAATTGATTAAGTATCTCATAATAAGACAATCCTGTTTTAAAATTAAGTAATTTGAAACAATGTTGATTTAAAATTTCCTGTAAATTCAAGCATGAATAAAATATTCAAAATATCGCACAGTTTAAATTAAAATTTGGGATTCATTTCAGAATATGTTGAGATGATGGAAATGGATTCACCTTTTCTTCCAAATTACGGCGCAGCGATTGATGGAAAGAATTTAAATGTTTTAAAACGAGGACAAACGATCACGCTCACGTGTAAAGTTTTAACAGAGCATGAAAACAGTAACAAACATTCCAGTCAAATTGATTGGATGAAAGACGAAGAGCTCGTAAGCTTGAAGGTAATTCATTCTCGCTCTTTCAACTATCAAATTCTACCCACTCTGCTTTTTTAAATTCTAATTTACAATAATACTGGAGCTATTTTCTCTCTTCAATAAAAGCATTTCAATGTATAACCAATTTATTCAGACAATAAATTAGCAATGTTCATTCAGAGCTCTTCTTCATATTCCCCAATTTAGATTTTCATTATAAATGGTGGATAAATTATAATTTCGAAATTTTTGTATCCTCATATTTTCTATTGTTTCATTTCCATAGACGCGAAACGGCGGAATAAGTATCAATACAGTGTGGTCTGGAAAGAGTGGTTCAAGCAAGCTCACACTATCTGAGCTGCAAGAGAATGATGAAGGGAATTATTCATGTACTTCAAATGGCTTCGTATCAGATGCCGTCACGGTTAGAATCATTACAGGAATAGAAGGTATGATACTAATAAAACTAAATCCGTTTGTTCACAAAAACACGAAACCGTACTTTCTCTTGGGGCTTTAAAAATAAACTACTGTTATTACCTTCTTGTAAACTGTTAAGCTCCTTTCATGATGTTTTGCACACCCAACTTTGAGTTTTAAACTCATTTCTTTGACATTAAGTAGAATAATGTAAACACTATGAAGCACATCAAGAATACGGACTATCAAAGTTAATGCTTCGCCTCATTGAAACATGTTTGCTTTTAATGTTAAAAGTTTTAATCCGTAAGGATCGCTTGAGATTAGTTTGAGAATATTTAATATTCAAAACAATACATTGAAGATTTTCATAGATATAAGGTAAGAATGGTAATAATAACGTGTACATTCTCAAACTTAACTTGACAAATTTCTAGTTCTTGACTTCTTGTTAGCAAATATTTGATTTCCTTAAATATTGTAAGATATTAAGATACAAAATTTGTAAGAATAACATAACATTTAGACAAGGCAAAAAAACTTTGTTGAGCTGCAAACCACTCATAAAGGAATAATTAATCAAGAATGCTGCTTTTGTATTAAAAAAAGGAAACTGAGAGAAAAATATATGATACCTTTCGAAACTTTTTTTTATTGTATTCTGTCATTATCCATTTCTACTCATTTCTATGTAAAAAAGTCATCATTAAAATTATCATTCATGAGTTTTTATGAGGAATAGCATTTCTTTTATTTCTCATTTCTGCACATTCACGTGTCAGTGATTTCGAATGAAGGAATTCTTTTGAATGAATATTTTCAACGTGTGTGTCTTATCGTTTTATGTTCGCATTTCGATATTTAAGAAGACACTTATCTGAAGCATAAAATTTCTCATGTATACATATTCTTTTCATTTCATTCCATATTTAATTTCAACGTTGCATAAATTTTTTAGCAAAACGGGAAACATAAATGAATGTTCAAGTGTTAATAGGTGGATGTACCGTAATATGTCAGACAGTTACAATTTCAGATACTTTTTAACTGAAAAAAAAAACAAGAACATTATTTTACGACTTTGAACGAAACCCAATTATGCAAATTTTGATTGAAAATGTGATGGGAAAATAAGCCAAAAAGAGTTTACAAGCAATTAAATCTTTTTCCAATTTTTCTGTAGATTTTAGCATAAAATATTTTCTGATGAGACATTTAAAATCTCAAATATAATGAAGCGATTTTATCATAACTCTTCATCTTAAGCAAATAACTGTGAGCATTTACCTGAAAATTTATTCTCGAATTTTTCACAAATTGTCAGTTGAAGGTGATAACAATATCGAATTACTCGTAAACGATTTGCGATGAAACATTTTTTTTTTCTCTCTCCTGTTAAACGAGAGGGAGGAAACAACCTTTTTAAAGCATCAAAAAAATGCGATTGAATCTCTTTAATGCAAGAGATCTTAATGTAAGTATGGGACGATAGAAAGGTGTATAATTTACATTCCCTTAAAATTCTTCGGTACATATTTGTGATTGGGATATGAAAAGTATGCATTAATGATGTTTTCTCATTCAAATATGAGCTGGTCCAATAGAAACCTTCATTATTTTGCTGTTCTAGAAAATAAAACCTTTGATAAACGGTCGAAAAAGAACCGCAAACCCCTATTTCTGAAAAAAAGAAGTATTTTTAAAAGTAGAGGCGAGAAGTTGAGGTAAACCGAAGAATTTTTTCAATTTGATAGTGATATTGAAGCGTGAGATATAATTTTATCAAAATTTTCTTTCTTCTTCCCCAATTTTTAAACATTTTCATACCTTGAGGGTAAAATTCAATCATATAAAAATTGATGCTGAAATCGTTTTCGAAGAAAAAAAAACATGATGACGATAGTTGCCTTGCTCCTTAACTCGTTTCCTATTCCTTAACACTTTACTCGAATTTGCTTTTATCCAGAGTTGTGGCTTGTGTTGACTGTGTCTAAAATTGAGCTTAGAATTCTTAAAAAGTACTTCGGATTTGTCACAGGGACAACCAGTGGACTGTAATTGTCTTTAATTAAAGTCATATCAAAGACATCAACTCTGCTTTCATTGAGTTGAATATTCACACATTTCATTGCTGACAAGAAGAAATCGTCTGCCAAAAAATAAATGAATCGTATAACATAAAATCAATAAGTTTGAAATTTCATTATGGCTTAATTTCTTTTAGTCATTCTTTTATACACACACGTGTATGTATACATAATGACAATATTACAAGGTGTGAACATAACTTTTTTGACACGTGTCCCCTAAAGTTATTTTCATTTAATAAATGGTGAAAATATGAAGTTTTCAGTGTTCTTGTCATATTGAAAATTCTAATGCAATGAAGAAGCAGACTTATCGGTCTTACGTTTTCTGTTTTTCCTTTCTCTTTTGGAATATGTACTTTAGGAAAAAAAAATATCGCAAATATTTTGCTGCGGAAATTTTCGTCTAACATAAAAATCTACCTCATGATGAAGAGATAAAGGAAAGTAATAAAGTCTCGCATTTGTAGCACCTGCTTTCATCTTTGCATATCATTGGGATTCTATAATGTCAGTAATGAATATTAACAACATCTCAAGATTTTTATTTGAAGCATTTTTCTTGTATTATTTGCCTAACATCTTTTATGAGGAACTGCATAAATTTTCATTATTTTAATTGGAACTTTTCATTCATAATAAGCTGGTGTTTTTGAAAACATTATCATAGCTTCAAGTATTTTCTCAGTTTATTTTCTTGGAACCAGAATATCTTATTGGAAATATACACGATATGGCTATTAAATATTAAGCATTCTTCCGATTTTTCCACGGTACAAATATAAACCCACACTGAAAGCTTTTTAATCACCGTGAGAAAATCTCAACATTTTGTGAATTGACAGTTGTAGGTTTTCGTTAAATCATCAATCCATACGAAACCTGATCGATAAATTTTTTAAAAAGCATCAAAATATAATTGGATTATTATGGTACTGTAATGTGTCCGTGAAAATGGGAATCTGAGTCTGTTATGGCTTATAGTCATTAACTTTGACATTTTCTCTACTCTTTTTCTTCTCCTGGTATTTGTTCATCAGGTTGTTTGTTGTCAGTATTTAATCCAGCTGTCTGGTAAGCTCAAAATCTGAAAATTTCTCCAGTTCCTTCATACAAATTTACCTAATCTTGTCAATGAAATGAAAACTCTTTAAATATGAATTTATAACTTTAAGTATCACTTTAGGGGTGTATGACGTTCATGAGATATTACACATCTGAAAATATATCATTAAAAATTTAAAAGTCAATTTATTTGTTTATTTTTTTCCTTAAATTTCTTAATATTCTTTTTCAGAGAAATTCGATCAGCTTGTCACAACAGAAAATAAAGCAAATATCAGGTGTATCAACTTAGCGAGTTTCGTTCATATATTTACTCTAATTCTAATAAATATTATTTAAGATTAAGAATATAATTTTTTATGTAAAATATAAAATCTATCTACCTGCAATAAAATACCTAATTGAAAATGATTAAAAAGTATTTTGATATTTATAGTTTAACAAATTTAAGCTACATTTGGGTGCGTTCATTAGTAGCATCCAGGAGCATAGTATGGAATAGTTTTTTTTGCATACGAAAAATCATACAGTGTTTAAAAATCTTAAGATTCGGCTATTCCTACCTTGCCGTAAAACATTTAAGCTCTTCTATAGGGCAGCCAGATTTAATCCAAAAACCAAAAGTCTCTAAGATGCCTTGTTATTGAGATTTTCTGCTGATTAACTTGTTTGGGAGAGGGTGGGTTCTGAAAAGTCGTTTTTCTGCGAAATGCAATGAGTGACATTAGGAAATGGCAATAATTTTTCTCTCGGAGGGATATTAGTTGTTGCAAAAATAAAAAAAAACTAGTGTATAGGGTAGAAACCCAATGCGGATTATATTCACACCGTACCATCAAAAGTCTTATGAATAGACCAAGATTTGCCCAGCATAAGTTTGAAGTTATAAAGCTAGCGAATCAGCTAAGCTTCGCTCAGAATATGTTTGAAGGTTTAAAGCTTTTTCTTTAAATGTTTTTTAAAAAGAATTTTCATCCAAAGTTGAATTTTATAAAAATCACAGTCAACTTTTGTTTTAAAAAATTCGTAAGAAAGGAAAGTTTTTTGCTTTTTCTGAAGCAACGGCTGTTCTTACCTTGCCCAAAAACAATACAACTCATCTATAGAGCAGCACCGATCAAATTTAAAATGCTAGAAGTCTCTACGATGTCTCGTTATTGAGATTTCTTGCTGATTAACTTGCATGCTTGTTTGCTTGCTTACAGAAAGCGTATTTTGCAATTTTCTCAGCAATGCTGCAACCAATTTGAAATCTGTTTTTTGCTAATCATGTAAAATTTCAGGCACAAACTTTTCTTCTGGGACCTTTTATAACCAATTTTGCTCCATTTCCTCGCAAAATGCGAAAAACTGATTTTTCAATCTGCACAAAACCAATAGATTCACACGTGAAAACGGTGTGAATATAAAGTTTTTACAGATCTTATAATGACTTTTTTGAGACAAAAATGACTAATTTTTGTTACATTTGTGACATAGAAAAGTAGAATCGTGATAGTTTTATCTCGAGAAAAGTTTTGGAAATTCGACAATTTGCATCGAATTTCATCCGAAGAAATTCTTACAGCTTTGAATATTTTGAAAATATTAGAGATTATGACAAAACCATTAAAAATTATCAAGATTCTTAAAACCTTGAAAATTTTAAACTTTCAACATAGTTGAGCAACAGGATCTCATTACCATTGAATAGGATCATCATATGAGGAAGTTGGTTGTAAAAATCGTATGTAAGCGTATCAACTGCTGAAGTTTAAACTTAATATATTCAAAAGTAAGTTTTTTTTCTTGCTCCGTAACTCATTGTGCTCTTCGTTTAAAACATATAGCGAAATAAAATGAAGGGAAGTTATACAAATGAAATAAAAATGAGATTAAAATAAAGCAAAGTGCTACATTAAAATCATTAAGCATAAAATTCTTATATAAACATTTTTCACTATAAGGCGTGACGTTTAAGAACCCGAATTTTAAGAAATTTGAATTTATTTGATGGTTTAAAATGTTATAAAAATTATGCAACAGTGCCTTAATGGTAATTAAAAAACATCATTATATAAGTATCTAATTCTTCATTTAAGTATCAAGTGTTAGTTGTGAAAATTGAAAAATGGTATTTATTCAGTAAACAATTTTTCATTAATAAGTTTACAAGTGAACAAGGTCAAAAATTCTTGATACTCTCTTGAGTAAAAGACATAATAAAGACCATTGTGATTAAAAGAGACACCATTTGAATTTGTAATGACTCTATTTTCTTGGGCTTTTCTATAAGATGCTTGATAATGATTAGGACGATGATTTTCCATAATATTCTTGAAAAGTATCAAAGCGTTATCACTTACGTGTCAGTTATTATCACAACGGGTGTGGGGTGTAGACAGGTGATAATTTTATCGCATAGAAACCAGAAACTTGTTATTCAAGCACAACGAAAAAAGAGCAGCCTGTTCTCAAATAGGCATTTTGATGTCATGTCTACAAAGGTAATATCATTCCGCTAGAAGCAAAATGAACACTTATTAAAAAGCAAGAAAGTAATTGTAAATCTTTAATGAATTTATAAAACATTACATTTTTATTGTCAAACAATTTCTGTTGAGATTAAAATTTCAAATGTTCATTTTTATTAGCTATTACTATAAATTAAGAAAGCAATCATAAAATTAGGGATGTTGAATATGAATATTGAGTTATTTGCTTGTAAATATGAACCAAAACAGATGTAACATAAAACCCTTTTTTTGCTATAAAAACTTTTAATTGGTTATTCTTTCTAGGAAACCTTTTAAGTTTCCAAAATTTTAAAACATGCTAAAACAATTGAATTATACAACCGTAAAAACATTCCCCCGAGCTGAAATTGAGAGCATTTGTCATAAAGCTTCAATGTAAAATTACAATTAATTGTGATTTTTAAGCATAAAATGGCATAAAAAGAACTCAATTTTAATAATGTAATATTTGTTAAAACTCTGTGTGAATAAATGAAAGAAAGCTGTTACTTACAATTTGAATTTTCAAATGAAGATGTTTTAGGAAGCAAGAGCATACATGCATATCTGCTAGATGAAAAAAAATATTTGATTTCCAATATTCCTTTTCAAGGTCTGTTCTTCTACTTTGGCAAAAGAGGTCGTTTCCACTGTGAAATCGTAGATGTGTTCATGCGTGAAAATGGAAAGAGTGAAACATCAACATTGGAAGGAATGTATATATTTCTCTAGGAAAACAATGTTTTACGAATTTACAACTCTAACAGTACTGGAAAAGAGAATTATTTTGCCATTTGTATTCCTTTTGAAGAACGCTAAGAAAACGCAAATAGAGATGTACATAATTTCTTCTTTCTCTGCTTTATTTTGTTAACCCAATGATTTTTCCTAATTTTTTCCGTCAATTAATCATCTCATTAGCGTTAAGGGTGAAATTTAAAGAAATTTTAAAATCGCGGCTAGATTTCTCACCCTTTATTCTATTAAAGACTTGAATTCAGAGAACTTTATTTTATATCTTCATATTTGATAGCAGTGAATCACATAACATTTTTTTCCCGTTATCTCAACGAGTCCCTTAACAATATCCTAACATATTCCCCATATGCATTGAGAACAAGAAGTAATAGAAAAAAAATGAAACGAAGAAAAACTTTTATCTTCGAAAGCATTACTGAGCATCGTGAATTTATATACCTATATTTTATTTATATACAAAATACAAATCAAAGTGGGGAGAATAAAAGTTCGGCAAAAAAAAGTTTTGCGTAAATTCTTGCAACCATGCTCTCATAAACATTCACATTCATTATGAGTTTTAATCAATTGTTTTATTTTAGTTTTTTCTATCTACATGCTTCATTATTTTCATTACTTTCGAAAACATATATATGCATGTATTTATTTGCTTCGGGTATTATTTATACAATTTTACAAAATCCAGAGAGAAAACTGGAGGAAGCGCTTCATATATGAATGGAATATAAGGAATGTTGAGTAAATATTAGTTACCTGTGTGATACAAGAGCGTCTTTGGTTTTGAACGAATTTTCCTTTGAGATATGAGCGAATTAATCTGCAATATCAAAACCAGAGACAGGTTTGTTAAACAAATACTTCCTATACCGAATTTTATGTTTATATAATTTATTAATTAGCTCCTTGTGAAAAGTTTCTATTTCAGAATCTTTAAATTAATTTTTAATTTACATTTATTGTTCTAGATATGGTCTTTATTTCTCTATGAGAGCAGAATTAAGTATAACATTTATTAACCTATCACATTCTGTGGAAAAGGATGTACATGCAATGCATGTACATTTGTATTGGATACTTTAATTATCTTCTTATAAATGTATGTATAAAAGGATAAAATGGTTGTGATATAAACGGAAGGGAAAATCACAACATGAAATTAAATTTTGTGATTCTTACATGAGCTGCTTGCGAAATATATATACAGTAGTCATAAACCGCAATAGATTGCCACAAAATTTTGTTCTCTTTGTGTGTGCTAAAAGAATTTATTTCTACGGTTTATATTAAAGGATCGAATCTTTATAAACATCTGTTTTCAATGCTAAATGTTTCAGAAACATTTGAACAAATTTTAAGACTATAGACGTGAGTTTGAGCTTCAATTTATTCCCTGTTTTTTTTTAAAGGAAGTGGGCAAAGTTTTCAGGTGAAAACTTTTTTTGGTTAAAATAAATAAAAAAAACTTTTTTTTTGAAAGATAAATCTCTAACTGTTGATATTGCTTCACCGACACATCTAAAATAATGAATTGATTACTGTTTGGGTGCATTGTTTACCAAAAGCTATACATCATTTCTGCATGTGTGTTAGTACAAGTGTATAATATGTGCTTAGTTTAACTGATGATGATTTTTCACTGGTTTTCCTTATCAATAGTATATAAACCTAGCATTATGTTACTGAAAAAGGTTCTACGATAAAATTACCATAAAACGCATTGGGCCCAATGCCTGTAGTATTTTTCATGATACAAATTTGAATTTGTTTTTTAAACTTTTACTCTTTTATGCCTTTTGTGATTTTAATTTTATTACAGAAAACATTCTTAGGCCCTTAAAGCAATCTCCTTTAGATTCAATAAAATAATATTTAAATTGCTGGTATAAATTGTATTATTCGGTCACACATTGACATTTTAAAACGTTAGCAGATAGAAAAATGGCTTATAAACCAATTGACCAATATAAAATCTTTATAGCACAAAAATAAAAAAAAAAGAAAAGAAAATAAAAGAATTTCATGGACAATCTTGAATCGTAATATTTCATACAAACACACACACACACATACACACATAATGTTGAGGGTCCAAATAAAGATAATTTTTTGTTTATAAGAATATTCGACATGGGAAAAGCTA